TTTCTTATCGAAATTATGAGTTTTTAAAGAAACATATTTAATTGGCATTTAAATTATATTTACTAAAACAAATTACAATGTAAATACATAAAAATAGTGAAACACATTCTTATTTCAATTCTATATAGAATATATTCGTAAATAGAATAAAATTTAGATTATATTTTGACACACAAAATTTTATATAAAAGTAAATTATTATGAGGTCAAATAGCATAAATCACAAGTGAAAACTTTCCAGTGACTGATTTATTACTGATCTGATATAATTTCTTTTCAGGCAATTTTCATCCTGAAACTTAAACGGTTCAACGTCCGAAGAAACAATTTTCGAAAAAAATTCTGCATAGATAACACCAATTTCACTCAATGTTTTAAACTGGGAGAGCTGAAATTGAAATAGAACCTTATATTTCGGAAACAAATCTCATTTTCTTTTAAAAACGTCCCTACACTCTGTAGCTAGATTCCCATTTGACTATAACGAATTCCTGTCTAATCTCGGTGTATTAGAGTTGATAATCGTTTATTTCGGGTTAAGTGGGGGCTTGTAGGCGCCAGCGTTCGTCACGTTTAAATATGATTTATGCAAGTAATTTAGTTAAGTACATAGAGACATTACGAGCTCTCTGCTGGGCGGATAGATTAAAATGTTCTTCGGGATTCAGCTCTCCTTTGTAGTGGGTGTCGTCTCATACGCCGCTATAAATTATGTATTTTCGTATAACACAATGGGATTTGGTGTCGCGATGGAATAATTTGAGTGTAAATGACATTATTGTTAATTATCATTCTGAATTGTTATAATTATTTGATCTCTAAAACATAGGGTTGAATTATAATATTTTCTTGACGCGCATGGAATTATAATACTCGTAATAAAGTTTTTGTGAAGATGTAATTTTGCTGTGGATAATAATAATAATACTTTTGGTGACTAAGGAAATGATAGTTTGAAGTAGAGTAGAATAATTTTCATGAATTTTTTTTTTAAGTACGTAATTCGCAGTTATCTTACTAATATAATAAAATTACAATTTGATGATGTCTGTACATTGGAAATATATAAGAAAAAAATACAGGAGGGCTCTTAAATAAGAGAAATAGAAGCCAAAATAATAATTTTTAGATTTCTTTTCTGTTTGTTCCGACATCACACAAAAATTACACGAAATTGGATACGGTTTTCTCAGTTATATTCCTGAAGGTCTAACTTGAAAATTGGGGTATGTTTTATCTTGATACGCCATCTAGAAGTACGTACATATATGTGTTCCATCTTTGCTCTTATCATCATTTGATGTCGGGTGAGGTAAGGTCAAGCGGAAATACATTTTGTAATAAAAAAAAGCACAGCTGCTTCGTAGCAGATATATCCATGTAGATGGAACAGAGGTATCCATGTAGATGATTATATACACAACTATGTCTACACTCTTGTAAATTATAAATAATGAGTTTTTGTCACAGTCTTTTGTAAGCATTATTGCTCAGCTAGAAATATTCATTGCAGTTGACAAATGAGTAAACTTTCTATTAATATTATTGTTATTTTGTAGTGAAGCCTACATTTAATTATCAAAATTCTAAGTATATAAAGTAGGGTAAATTTATACTACAATTACAATACACATTTTTTCATAGAGTTCAAGGCAACATGAATGAGTCCAATTAAAAAGCTGACAGCGGAAAATGTTTTAACAGGTATTATTATTGTAATATTGTTAAATGTTTCACGTAAATTATTTTAGGAACAGTTGTAGGTATAACTTATGGACGTGAAAAGGTTAAAATCTTAAAATTTCTGTGTTTATGGCTACCACATTTTATTATTCTGAGATATAACGCCTCTTATGTAGTTTTGGAAAATATTACAAACATAACTATATTATAAATATAACTATAAATATAAAAGCAATCTGATAAAATAAATAAATAAAAATATTATTTAAATAAACTTAATGATAAGCATTTTTGAATAGTCATACTTTTATGAATTTACCGTCCAGTTTGGAATATAATTTCAGCTGAGAAGCACGGGCAAGAAACTCAGCTGTTGCTTTTTTCAAATAAAAATTGAGTTTTCAACAAAAATGTGAATGGATAAAATGACTATCACAAATTTCATATTAATAAGAAAAAAAAAACTACAATCACAGTATTCTTGAATAGACCAGTACTTACTAAAATCATCCGTTCACGAGTATGATGGATCAACTAGCTGTCGCTATGTTCTACCATATTATAAAGAGCTCAACGACCCGGCCCACAACATTCACACCTATTATAGTAGACTTGTTTTAAGAAATGTGATTACATCAAAAGTATCGATACTAAATTTAATGTAAAAATCAGTATACCCATTCGTTACAAAATTAAAATGTTATTAATGTAATTGATCTATTCGTTATCATACCTAAATTTTAAAATGTACCGTACATGATGTACCTCCCTATTTCAGAAATTAATTATTTATAGTCTTTAATAAAGTTACATAAAACACCTAGGCATATTATATAAGCTTCGTGACAGCAATAAAATTATTATGCAACAACAATAAAACGTACGTGATATAATCTCTGTAACCTTGCAACTTGAGGTATAAGGTAGTGACTCATCGCACACGCCTGGAAAACTCTTCAAGCGGTCACGTGACAATGGCGCCGTGACGTCAATGAGCACCAGCCTTTAAACTTGTGTCGGATCGGAATTTTACTCTGCGACAATTTGTTTAATTATATATGTATATCACAAACAAAGTTATTAACGCGCTTAACTGATACACTATCTATGTTTTGTTTATCTTTCTTATCTATAATGTGTATAGATAAACCTCTATAATTATTTAATGGATGAAAATGAAATAGTAATACGTATGTACTGGTTGGGCACCAGCGAGGGATGATAGGTGGTGATAAAATGGCTGGTCAATTAGCCCATTATGATAAATAGGCCTGGAATTCAGCACGTAATTTCTAGGGGTGAACATGGTCGACCTGGTTAAGTATATTCCTAGCTTCCTTCTTCCTTAGTCTCTATTACTGACAATCGCTTCCCCTCTGCTTATATATTTAAGTATATTGAGTTGGTAGAATTAATGCGATAATTAGATACGGCACTTTTTAGATGCAATGATCGGCAAAACACAAGTGATATATCGCGGAATTTGGTCGCCTTTTACCATCAGGCGAATCGTGTCTTTGCCATTCCTTTTTACACAAACACAGATAATGTACGGACCTGTATTTAACAGGAATAGAGATCGAGTTCCTGATTCCACAGAAATTCCTACGGGAATAAAAGATAACGGAAGCTTGTAGGCAAAACTGCGAGTGACACCTAATCTGATTATATAGTCCAACGTTTCGAATAAGTTTCGAATAAGTAATTTTACAGAATCCGTGGTGGCAAATAATTTTTCACAATTATAAAATAGGTGTTTGTCTATCTTTTAAACACATCAAGACCTTTATTTATGGGGTAGGTTGAGAAAATTACGTGCCAGAGTCTTTCATCTTTTACTAAAATCTTGCCTCATTGTCTTTTAGAGTTCGCTTCATACATATACGTAATTTTTGTACAGTCTTTTAAATGAATATATTATGAAAAAGTATATCTTTGTTGTTTAACGATTTCATTATATTTTATTTACTTACAAAATAGTTTTATTTATGTAACATATTCATAATTAGATCTAAATTACACAACATATAAATAATTACTTACAAAAATAAAAAAATAAAGGAATCGAATTGACCTAATACGAAGTTATAAAGTGTCAAGTACATTAGTTACTATACCTTCATATTTTTACTTTCTTATCTCTCGTTTTTGAGCAAAACATCCCCCTAAACTGTACGATATCGCAGTTATGCGAGAAAGATTTATATCGACAGGTTCCGTGCAATATCGGCAGTAATTTAGCAACACGTTATTTATCTCACAGCTTACTTAAGACGTCTCAATGATGTATGGTGGTGGCGGACGGTGATTAACTTGCAGTTTTTCAGTGCAAGTGCACAGCTAGCGTGTTAAATGGTGAAATCTCACGCGATTGTATTTTGGTTTTGTTCCTAAGGAACGGTATTGAGTTTGTTAACATTTTATTTCCCTTAAGTTTTATTTAGAATTGTAGAAAAATAACTGAATAAATTATTCTAAATTCAAATATTTGTATTTAAAATGGTTACTCAAAAATTATTTCGATACATAAAAATAAAAAAGACACGAAGATGATTGTAATTACAATGGACAATAAAATACACTCGTAATATTGTTTCTGAAGACCTGATCTATCCATTCATACCTTCGTTAAGTTATAATATAGCCATTGTATATTAGAACCAGTGACTTTGGTATAAAATATTGAATCTGTGCCTACATCTTTGTAATCTATATCTACCTCATATCATACGCTTCAATGATCAAAATGATTCCGTAGCAACTTCAGCAGTATTCTGAGCATAATGCTCACAGCTTATATATAATATGCATTTCTTTAGTGCATTATAAAGCATAATTTGATTATAATAAACTGTGTGCTTGGAGATGACAAAGCTGTGTTAGCTGCATTAAATTTACTTACACGTGTATCTTCTTAATATCAAGAAGCTCGTTAAACTAAAGCATTACTAGGAATCTCTCAGTAGCGCTTCACCAAACTGCTATGATATCAACGTTAACAAAAGACAAAGAGCTCTATCTTATATACATTGAGTAAGTTAAAATAACATAAGTAACACAGTTTAATGACGTCCGTAGCTTTGTGGTAGGTATGTTGCAATGCGCAAATGAGGTCTGGGTTTGATTTTCGGTTTGGTTAAGGAATCAACTTTTTAAATTGGCCTCAGCTCTTCATGGCTTGGTTCTTCATAACACAGTTTATCCTACTTCGAGGAGCAGGCAGTTAGTGTGATTGTGTGGCTCTTGTTATTATTATACAATTTTGAATTTATTATAAACTAATTTTTATTTGCCATTAAAAAAAAAAATTTAAAATTCGAGTAATGCCGATGTAAAGACACAGCACACACCTATACAAACTCACACAAATTCATCGCATGCCAAGCTCGAGACAATTTCTATTTTCATTTACATGATGCTCGAAATCCAAATTGCATTTTAATTTTTCTGCCCATAAGCGATTTCATTGCTGTGTAGTACCTACTGGCTGTTGGTAATGATCCAGACTCTCATCTCAGCGGCCATTTTAATTGTGATTGCTAGTCGTTTGTATGCGACACCCGCAGTTTGTGGCTGTTAGTATGCAGTTGCCGGTTACTAAAAGAGGACGAAATAAAAAAAATATATGTATTAGAGGAATTGTTTAAAAAATAAAAGCACGTCTAAAAGAATAGCATTAGGGCTATGTTAATGATTAGGATTTATTTAAGTCTTAAATTTATCTTCAATCTTTTTATGTATAGGTGCAGTCTATGATTGATTCTACCTAAAAACACTTTAATGAAAAAAGCCAGTCAAGTGTGAGTCATACTCGCATAACGAGGGTTTCGTACAAAATAATCAAGTTTACAATTTTCTTTTTTCTTATATTTCACAAAAAAGAAATTGACAGTTTTCAGATTTTTTCGTTTACTTGTACTACATGACATTGCTTTTTGTCAAATTTCATGGTTCTAGGTCAACAGGAAGTACCCTAGCTTTGATTCCCTTTGCGAATGTCAAAATATATGATATAAATGGAACATGAACGGCCGTATCTTTTGATTGCGTCGATTTAGAAGATTGCAGACCTGAGTACATGATATTAATTTTAACTTGATACCTTCACGCGTTCCTAAAAAAAAAGGGTCTTGACAGACGGATGAACGAACGGACGGACAGACAACGAAGTGATACTATAAGGATTCCGTTTTTCCTTTGGTGGTACGGAACCCTAAAAATGGCATCAATATTATAAATGTGGAACTTTAGAAAGGGTACACCAGATTTGCTTTTAATTTAGTGGACAGATATACCATAAATTTCAATAAAATATAACATGCTTTTTATTCCGACTCAATCCGGTAAATCCACAGAATACAGATAGTTAATTAAATTCAATAAAATGTACATTATTCAAGAAGATTCTAGAAGTAAATTCCTTTCTTTTTTATTTATAAATAAGTATATTCGGAAGTATAGATCGAGCCCTAATTTGATAATATAATTAGGTAACTAGGCAAAATCATTCAAATCACCCAACGATAGCAATTACCTTTTCGTTTATTAGTACTTAAATATCGCGTGCTGGCATTCGAGCTATTATTCAAACGGTCATCCCTCTAGCTTCTATTAAGACTTGAACGGGAACTTCTGAGAAAACACGCAAAGTATCGTGTTAGATCCGGATGAAAGCAGATTGATCTGGATTTAAGTACTTTGCCGATTTTCGTGATATATGGTTTGTTTTTGGTAACGAAATAGAAAAAATACTGTATCATACCAACTCACAGTTAACATATATAATTATTTAATGGTATTTGATAAATAATATTTTGAATACATTTGTTTCGTGGTATTGTAATTGTAAATATTTACAGTAAGATAAGTAATATTTGTTATATTTGTATTGTAAATATTCAAATGTGATAATTTCTGAATTTTTAATAATAAATTTTTACAGTTTGATAGTAAAATAGGTATTTTCGTAAATATTCAATACATACCTAGATATAAAAATTTGGTAGTTGTTTAATCTAGTACATTATTAACATTGCAGTGTGATAAAAGGCTACGTTTTAGACAATCATTTACCAACATTCAATTTTGAATATAAATTTCATTTGTAATAAATCTCACAACCTTTTGATAATTAATACGGATTATAGGTCTATAAATAGTTAATTATTAAAGATATTTTTTTATACAACTTAGAATGACAAACAAGCTGACGGCCCACCTGATGGAAAGTGGTAACCGTCGCCTATAGACATGAGCAGTACCATGGACATAACAGAGTATACTGTTACGCCCATGATGCCCCCCATGCGTTGCCATTCCTGAGGACTAAGATGTTATTCCTCTGTACCCAGTAAATTCACGCCATATCCTACCCTACAAACCGAAACACAGCCATGCAAACACAACTGCTTCACGGTTAAAACACGAATGGGACAGAGGTACCCAAGCAGTTGACTTTTGTACAAAGTCTCCCTCTGGTGTTTGGATGTATTTCATTAATTTTCAGATTTGTGATACTTATTAGTAGAATAAATCTAAATGGCGAGGTACGTACTTACCTTTCGCAGAATAAAACACAAATAGTATCGACTTTTATTGTAGTCAATACAATACAAGGTTACATCTAGTTTGATAGTGTTAAACGTAGCAACAAACTCATAGAAATGAGTCAACTTGTTTATAAATACGATGCAGTTTTCACGGCTCCGTCTGGACTGATAGTGCTATTGTCTAAGTACTGACGTAAACACCACTTGTACATACATGGGACTTAATAGTTAAATAAAACTATGCATACATAAGAATATTGTTTTGAAATATTTCATATTCGTGACGTTGTCTACGTGGTCATGATATATTGATTGAACGGGATAAAAAGTTTTTTTTTTTAATTAGTATGATGGACTAAATTTTATAACAAATTAATGAACCGTTAAGAGGTTAAGAGGTAAATGAATAAACTCACTTTTATAATATTAGAAAGAATAAGTATTAAGAAATTCATTTTCAATAATTCTTACGAAAGATATACATATCTTGAGACTTAACATTATTTTTCCCGTTCTAAAATCTATATTTCTATTAACTTAACCAAATAAATTAAAATTACTTTGGTTTAGATTTCAAAATCTATCCTAATAGAATTTTTATAAATATGATGTTGATTTATGGTAGAAACATACGATTTTTTTAAATGGATGATAATGGAGTGGTTACCGCGCTTGCGCTAACGGCATATACAAGCGGGGCACCAGTGAGGGATGATAGGAGAAGATGAAAAGGCAAGTCAGTTAGCCCATCGTGATGAATACATCTGGGATTCAGCACGATGGTTTTCAGGAGGGACCACGTAGAGGTCGACCTGATAAGGTATATTGCTAGCAATGGGACTGGTGGGCTGAATTACTAACTATACCTTCCCCCCAAAAACATACAGTTATCACAAAATAAATCTATATATAACATGTCAAGACTTATAGGGTTTATAGGGTATATTAAGGGATTTTTTTTATGGGTGAAAATGGTATGGTAACCAGGTATGGAGCACGAGTAAAGGGTGATAGATGAGAATGAAAACAGGCCAGTTAGCCCATCATGAATTCATAAGGAATTAACCATGATAGTTTCCAAGGGGAACCGCGGGGAGGTCGACCTGGTTGGGTATATTGCTAGCAATGGGATTCTCAGTCTCCATTACTAACAATCCCTTTCCCCCCTATATTAAGGGATTCAGTGATGAATTAAAAGTAGGTCAAGAAATAAAATAGGTTAAACGACTGTTTTTTCATTTCCTTGACTTTTTATGTATAATATTAGCATAACGCGATCGTTAAAGAGTGCTGTATTCGCAATCTGTGACTCATTTAGTTATACTATGACCCTTTAGGTCATCTGTTGACGTCATTGGCAGTAAAAATGTTTTTTATCCCTTCTTATCATCATAATTATGTAAATAACATTGACAATTATAATATTATGTGTACTTAATTTGTATTACGAATATTATTAATGTAAATTTAGTAAGAGTACTCGGAACAAATAAACATTTAATATGGAAAGAAGAATGTCTGTAATAGAGTATATTTTATTTATTTATTCTTTAGTACAGGTATGTATACGAAGCGAATTTGATGCTAAAGGCATTACAGGGTTTAGTAATCTAAGAAGTTGACGTGTTTGGTTGATGTCCACGCGGTCCCCATAGGACATATGATGATTAATTCTTGGTGAGTTCATTACGATAAGCCAACTAACCTGACTTAATACTCACCTATCACACTCCTCTGGTATCTTGCTAGAATATTCAGTTATTAAAAAGAAAGAATAAATTTATTTTTTTTAATTAATATAAAAACATGTAAATATTGATATGAATGGACCAAAGAAAATACGACAGAAAAGAAATAAGTACTATAGAAACTACATAGCTACTTTATCTTATAATTTAATACTTTGTATAGATATATAATAGATTTGTAATATCAAAGTGCATGTTGCATAAAACAGTAACGCAATATTTCAAATAATGCTACAAGATAAATAGAAAGGAAAACAAACGCACACGCATTTGAATTCTCGCATTTCTCGCATCAAGTCAGTGGTGGCATCATAAATCTTGCTGATCCAAGCGAGAGATCAGCCTCCTGCAAGTGTATATGATGAATGCGTATTTTTGCCAAATTTATCACAGTTCCCTAAAAACAGCGTGTAAGTCCCCCTATTTATGTATACAAAAATAAGACCGTGAAGGAACATTCTATATTTAATAAAAATAAATAATTTTCAAATTCTATCTACCTAGTAAATGATATTCCTTTAGTTAAAGAAACAAAGTTTTTTTTTTAATATATAAATTAGAATGGTAAACAAGCTAAAGGCCCACCTGATGAAAAATGGTAACCGTCTAAAGCTAAGTGGTAAGCTACTAAACAAATGTGAAAAATTATAAAGATTACTCAGTTACTTTAAGCCTATATCTTAACTGCATTTGAGCACAGCTGCGGGAAACAGTTCTACTCGTATTTTATAATTTTAGAAGTGAAACTTTCAGCTTTTATACAAATAATGTTTTTGATAGATATTTTTTTGATTCAATACAGTAATGATAAATCTTTTATTAATATTAGTGAGTATCATTAATTTTGCTTAATATAACCAACACATTTAATAGGTACTGGAAACAATAATTATTTGAACAAGTACAGAATAACCTCCTTCCTACCTGTCTTCTTTTGTACCTCGAATTTTCTGATTGTTTATAAGAAGAAAAGAAAATTGATTATTACCGGTTTAATTCAAAAACGTTCTTTCAGATCTGTTATTAAGCATTTTTTTTATACCACGGAGATGGCAAACAAGCATATTTCCCACCTGATGGTAAGCGGTTACTGTAGCCTATGAACGTCTGCAATACCAGAGATATTACGCGCGTTGCCGACACTGAAGAAACCTCTTTAACCCCCTTTGGAAGAACCCCATGCTATAGTCTCTTTTATAATATTAATATTATAATATTGAATTTATAATATTACTGTCAGGAAAATGGCATGCATCTACTTATATTCACTTTAATAAAAATAAAGCGCACGTGTATCTGTTTTATGTCCATTGTTATCATTAGTATCATTGTTCAATATAGTATAGTTTTAATTATTGCAAATAAATATACTGAGTTCGTCAAACTTTTATTCACCGATTTACAGTGTTTGTTACACAACAGTTCTTACTTACAAGTAACCATACAATGTAGACTAACGATCCAGCCAGGCTTCCTACGGGTAGATAAAATTTCCTAAAATATTATAGCTTATGTTATAATGTAGCTTTCTATAGGTGAAAGAATTTTTAAAATAGATTGAGTAGTTTTTGAGTTTATGCATTACAAACATTCAATCAAATATTTCTTCTTTATATATATATATATATATATATATTAGAATAGATGACTAATTAAACAAGTATTTTGTTTTAAAGTTTCATACTCACAATAGCATTACGTATATGGTAATTTCTGTGTTACATTTCATAATAAATACATGAAAATGTTGTTTAATGTAACATGTTACCGTATATTCATACCCAACGGATTCCCTTGTGGTTACATGAATCACTTGTGTTTATATATATTTAGAATATTACAAAGTATCTATTCTCGGACGATTAAAGAATTGACGGTATATGTCCCTTTCCTATAATTTTTAACTTACTAAGTTTATTCTTAAACGTGTGTCAGTAATTTTCTTGGAATATCTTCTTTGAACATCCCCTCATATTGCTTTGTTATAACAGTCTCTCACGACTTCAAACGGAATTATGATTCAAAAATTTACATATAACTCGAATCATTATATAAAAATCTCTGTCCATCCGTCAGAGTGCGTCATAAACAGTTCCTAGTATGCAACATGATCACGCTGATAGTATAATTATTTAGCGATTACATCTGTTCAGATGTTTGACTGATGTACAGTGATATATATTTATTGTAATGCATTGAGAGACATTATTTATTTTTAAAGTAAAAATGTAAATACCCTCATTTAACATTCAGATTTAGCTATAGGTAAAATTTATAATGTGTATCCGTGTGGTTCCGCGCGTAGAATGTCTATTCTTTTCCTTTCAATTTCTTTCTTGTGGGTGTCGTAAGAGGCGACTAAGGGAACTTAATGGTATAGGGAAGGCCAGCAGTGTCCCTCTTAAAACATTTCTAAAAGCCTAACTGGGGTTGCTAACTTGCCTGTCAAACATAGCAACTACTAGCAAAACTCTTTTTACAAGGAGGGTTTATGTTCAGCAGTGGACAGTTAATGGCACAAATGATGATGATGATGATTATTTATGGTATATGTTTATTTTTTTTTATAAAAAAGCTTTTTTAATCTTTAGTGTAGAGAGGTCTTATCGTTAAAAGAAAAACACTGTCTGTACGTGGTCTTTTGTAAGACAGGCGCGGTGCCTTACGTTTGTTAAATATCTATAATATTTCATGGTGATAAGATTTCTACTTTGGGGAGAAGATTGTTAGTAATCGGGTTTAACAGCCATTAATAACCTGTCAAGTTAATCTCCACGTGGTCTTTCTTGAAACCATGGTGTTCAGTTCCTGATAAATTCATTTTGACCGTTTAACTGATCTGGGCACACCCTTACTCATTATCCCTCGTTGATACTTGGCCAATATATAGCATAGGCGTAGATGCCATTTTATTTTTAACAAAAAAAAAACATTTCTATTCGTTCTAATGTCTATGATTTATGAACTCGAAAAAGGTATATAAGCGCTGAAGGTCGCAGTAGTGAGTCAGAATGTAGAATTGGGGCATTTTGTGGTGTACGTTGTTGCTACGTTTACCGGACTGTATTAGTATTGTTTGTGACTAATTTTAGATACGCAATGCAGATTACACGTCATTCTTTATTTTTTAATAATAAAAACGTGGGTGTATGTTTATTACGGCAAACTTTTTAAATTGTGTTTCATTAGCATTTAGATTATGAATTCATAACTTTTATATAATACCAGAGACTATATATAAACGGTAATAAAATATACCCATTATGTACCTTCAATTGTTATTATATATATATATATATATATATATATATATATATATATATATATATATATATATACAATCTCTCTCTCTCTCTCTATATATATATATATATATATATATATATATATATATATACAGAGTCTTGCTTTTGATTTTGTTGCGGAGAAAAATGCTAAATAATATCAAGTTATAATCATATGCACACTTCGCAAACTGCATAATACACTCAGAGACATATCATTGT